GTTTTTAGTCCTGAAGCAATGGGGTGTTAGTAAGATATTGACCTTGTATTTTTGTTTCTTAATTGCTGAAAAGGAGCTTTGAGAAAGAGCTTCTCTCACTCTAATCAATCACTCAGCTACTTTTGGAAACAGAAATTTAGAGGTAGAAAGGGTACAAGTTAATCTTGCCCTATATTTTTACAGGTGAAAAACGAGATGAAAAGAAGTTGAAAAATTTAGCCAGAGTCGTGGCGTTGATTGTGGCAGAAGACCCTTGGTTCTTGCTTCTCCTTTTCACAAAGGCTGGTAGAGCTTTTGGTGAGTCTGTGCCGCTGGTTCAGCACGCAATTTTGTGTAAGTGTTACGTTTCTGTGGGCGTGGGAGGAGCTGGGCATGCAGCTAAAATGTGACTGTGAGGTTAGAATTTTTAGCTAATGCTTCCAAATTCCCACTTGTAGGATACGAGTGTACTCAAAGTCCTGAGTATTTATAGAGCAGCTAGGGTAACGGCATTTGTGATTAGTAATGGAGGGACTACAGTTTCCCAAACTGAGAATGAACAGATCTAACAGCAAAGCTCACTAACTTTATTATGGCACTCACTGCAGCCGTCGGCCTCACTCTTGGATCTGTCTGTCTTACTTTCTTACCTTTATTTTCACTGACTCACTTTTTTTAACTTTATTTTTTCGGACAGTTTTAGATTTACAGAAAAATTGCAAGGATAGTACAGAGAGTTCCCGTATACCCCACACTCGGTGTCTTCCATTATTAACATCTTGGATTAGTGGGGACGCTTGTTACATTTAATGAGCCTACATTGATACATTACTGTTAAGAACAGTTGAGATTTTATTTCCGTTTAATTAGTTTCCACCTTATGCTCTTTTCTGTCCCAGGATCCCATCCAGGATACCACATTTTATTTAGTTGTAATGTCTCCTTAGGCTTCTCTTAGGTGTGACAGTTTCTCAGACTTTCCCTTTTTATGACAGTTTTGATGGATATTGGTCAGTTATTTTGTAGAATTTCTTTCAATTGGGATTTGTTCCATGTTTTTCTCGTGATTCGACTGGAGTTATGGGTTTTGGGGAGGAAGACCACAAGGTAAAGGGCCATTCTCATCACAGCATATGAAGGGTACACACTATCAACATGACTTATCACTGTTAATGCTGACCTTGGTCACCTGGCCAGGGTTTCAGATTTCTCAACTATTAAGTTACTTTTCTCTCTCTCCCCCACACCCCACTTTCCACACTATTCTCTTTGGAAGGAAGTCACCATGTACATCCACACTTAAGGAGTGGGGAGTTATGCTCCAGTTTTTTGAGGGAGGAGAATCTACTAAATTATATGGGATTCTTCTACAGGGAAAATTTGCCTCTTCTCCCATATTTATTTATTTACTATTTATTCAATCATTTTTTAATATCAGTATGGACTCAATATTTATTTTCTACTTTGGGTTATAACCCAATAACACTTTATTTTGTTGCTCAAATTTTTCCAGCTTTGGTCTTGGGAGTTTTTTCGGTTGGCACCTGTGTTCCTTTGATATATTCCCACCATTGTGGGTTTTTGACATTATTTTTGTTGTTTTGAGCACTTTCTTACTTTCTGGAACTATAAGTTGCTCCAGGTTTATCTTATATGTTTCCTGCCCCAGTCCTAGAATACTGACTCACTTTTCACACTTATTTTAAATTTATTTTATGGTGTGATAGTGTGTGTGTGTGTTATTAAAACCACTGGCTGGATGACTTCCACTTACCCCTTCATGTTCCCTCTCTGTCCTTTTCCACCTGCTCTGTATCCGCAGAGGCTGACCTGTATGAACTGAGAAAGAGGCCCTCGTCTTCTGGCTTACAGCTGGGCCCTGACAATGAGACGCTATAGCAGGAGACAGAAGGGGTCTGGCTATTTCTTCTTCCATTCTTTCTCTGTAACGGGATTCCTTGGGCATGCCTCATGCCTTGCTGAAGGTCTCAGCTCACATAAGGCAGTCCTCTCCACATGGGCTTCTCTGTTTCAAGTGCCGCCCACCCCACCTCCCCATAACCCTCCTTTCCAACTCCCCACTTTGGCCCCTTCGGGTTTAGGAGTAAGGAGCTCTCCTGTTGCAGTCCAGGGCATTGCCCTCAGTCTTATAGTTTCCTTTCACCTTGCTCCTGCTTTTGTAGACACTCTTTTTATCAAACTCCCCAAATATCCTAATTTGATTGTATCATCTTTTTCCTGCTGGGAAGCTTTCCAATATCTTTTTGGAATAAGGTAAGAATATGTTTGAGGAAGATAGGAAGAAATGAAGGAGGAAAAGAGCGAATGAGAGAGAATCAGAATAATAGTAAGAGTGACCAAGAGAGATTAAGAAAAAGTGATCTGAACAGACAAGTATATTTTCTGCTATCTTGAAGGAAGATGCTTGCATCAATGGCAGAGGACAGGTTTCTAACTTACAGCCAATCTATAAATTCTTATTCCTTTCACACTGAAGAATAATTTTAGGCCCATGTGAGATTAGGCAATTTTGTTTTAGAATTTAACTTTAGAGCTAATAATTTTAATATGTGGAGTTATTATTAATAACTCTTACGGTATCCTGACAATGTGTTAGACACCGAATTCTCAAGTAGATTAAGAGCAAACATTTCTTATTAGTACGAAAGAACTTTGCAAGTTCCATGTTTATGCATTTATGAGGTTTCAGATTTTCATTTGCATTACCTTGGATATCTTTTTAATGAAGAAAAAAGGTTACCATAGACAATACTTTAGATTTTGCAATAAATATGATGAAAATGTGTTCTTCGGTAAAAAAGTCTTGAATCTCCGAATTGTTTAGCAGGCTCGAATTGCATTATAAAATTTCTGACAAATACTGAAATACGTACATAGTTAATTACCATAAAAATCTATGATGTATATTTTATTACATGCTAACTAGGTAGGTAGACACTTAATATATACTACTTAATTTAATTCTCAAAACAATCCATTCTGTTAGAATTGTGAGTTTTATAGATGAGTAAATTAGGCAGAGAGACTAAGATACTTGCTGAAAAACACCCAAAGACCACAAAACAGAAATCCACCACTGAGACTGGAACATAAATCTTCCTAACTATAAACCCTGTGCTTTTAAAATTACACTGTTAGTTAATATTAGCATTTTCTCTTTGGGGCAATTAATTTATAAGCATGCAGTACGTTAAAATATGAAAATTCATTTCTGTGAAGGTTTTATTTTACATTGTGCATTAAATTTTTACTTACTATTGAAAATGCTTTTACTCTATTTACTGCGCTTTAAAATATCTAAAACTTTTTCATTTCTTGAAAACATCTAAAACAAAATAGTCTCTTACTGAATAAGACAGAACAACTTGCTCAAACACGCATTCATGGTTTTGATTACCATTTGGTGTCAAGGTATTTAATTTTGGTTTTATTTCAGAGAAACTAATAGTCAAAATTATATTTGTGAGTGTAAGAAATAAAAGCAACATCTTTTTCTTCTTCTGAAGTTTTGAACTGTGGTCGTTTATTTAACTTGATCAAACTTTTGCTGGTGAAAGAGAATGGAGACACATTGTTTTAATCTGAGGAAAGTAGCTAATTTGCATACATTCAGTATGAGAGTTCACACGGGGCTATTAAAATCGGCATTAACGGAGACTCAGTCTTGGACGACTCCTCCTTAAATAATGATTTATTCACTGAGCTGTAATGCAGTTCTTTCGTTCTTTCATTCATTCCACAAATAATTTTTGGATAATATATTTCAATAGATATTTTCGTGTTAGGTGTTCTACCTGCTCTGCAGTGACAGATGGCCATGTCATATGTAAGGGCAACCTTTACTTTGTTGGTACCGATTGTTATTACATCTTAACACACTTTGCACCTATGTTAAAAATCTAAAATGTTTGGGACAAGAAGTTGTGAATAGCTGTCAGAGTTCTAGAGGGTCAGGCTGAGAAGGCCCTCTGAGATCTGAGATCTTCCAGCATGATGCCATCCTTGTGTATTCCAGGAGCCTGGAAGTTGGGGACATGGTGACTTTCTCAAAGTCACAGAGCAAAAGAAAGGACCCTTGTCCCCTGACTCCTGGATCTGTTCTCAAACAGGATACTAGCTTGCACAGGAGTACTGAGGGAGTCTTTCATTCATTCATTCATGCATGCATTCATTCATCTGTTGGCTCGCTCAATTAACATATTTACTGTGCATCTTCTCCAGGCAGGCCAGGCACTGGGCTAGGGGCTGAGCGTTCATTGTGAACAGAATAAAACAGACATGACCCTCACATGGTAGCCCTTCTGTCCAGCTAAGCACTAGATCTATGGTAAGATACTGGCTAATAAGAAGATATTAAGTAACTCTAATGTAATTCATTAAATGAGTAGACTCGTCCATGAGTATAGAAGAAACTGGAGTAAACTGATAATTAGAGAACAGAGTAGGGAGCCATGAGAGGGAATAAGGAAGATTTTCTAATATTGTGATTCTCCATGGATGTAAAGCTGAGTTGTAAATGGAACAACGTGAAGGAGTTGGCCAAGTGGACAGGAGGGTTAGGGGATGGGTGAGCATGTTTCACACATGAGGAACAGCATATGCTAAGGCTCAGAGCTCGATGTCATGAAGAAACTGAGAGAAGGGGTTTTCTAATGAAAATTCATAAATTTATGAAGAAATAAATAATGATAATATTTATTCCATGCTTACTTTGTCCCAACATGCTCTAAATGATTTACATATACTAATTTTTTTAATCCTCACACCAATACTATGAGACAGAGGAGTATTATTCCCATATTTTTACAGAGGCGGATACTGAGGATTACAAAGGTTAAAAATCTCACTCAGAATCGTATATAAGGGATTGATGAGATGGAATCCAAACCAGTGTGTACAAGTCAGTGTCCCTGCCCTCAGCCACAATCCTACCTTCTTTCTGAATGTAAACAAGTAGTTGGTATGTTATGCCCTTCTAGTCCTTCTCCATACTTGGAGTTCAATTTCTACAGTTGGGAAAAATTACTGAAACCCCCAAACAATTTGAATTTATGCCTTGTCATACTGCATTTGCTTAATGAATGCAAGCCTCTATATTTCCTTTCATTTGTGGGTTTACAAACGTCAGCATCATACTTTATAAGTCGTTTGATTTTTTTCTAATGCCTAACCTGCCATAATTAAAGATACCTACTTTGGACAGAAACACTTCTCTCCTACTTGTAACAATCCAGTACTAAATATACAAAAAAAAAACCATAACCCATGAGTTTAGACAAGCAGTACTTTATATTTTTAATGCTTCTGCTATTCAATATGTGTGCCTTGCCCAGTTTCTGGGCTTGCCGTCTTCCCCTAGGTTTTCCTCTGTATCATTTTTGTGGCTGCTTCATTTCTGTTTAATATTTGTTTATTTTTGTTGAAATCCCCAGTGCAGAAACCCACAAACCAAACAAATACTAACGGAAAACACTGAGCAGCTCAAATGTCCTTGGAGACACTCAGTTTTTTTTGTTGGGTTGCTTGCCGCCATTTGTCATCCTCTGCTCTGAGAGATCAACAGTTTTTAGCACACAGATCAATATTCTCTTAACCCAGACCTAATCTGAGGAGAGGCTCCCTGTGTTTCACCTTGGCCCACTCCTCTCCACTCGAGCTGCCCTTTTTCTTTCCCCCAGCAATAATTTTGTCTGAGTAAGACAGCAATTTTTCATCCTTTGGTCCAAACTGGTGACAAAAGAGGGAATAATGGTTGCTGACATACGAAATGATAGATTTGACACCTGGCGTGCTGAGCAGGGAGCTTTCACGTGCCAAAGTGGAAAGACAGATAAACGGGCACACGGCTCTCCTGACACTGCCGGCGTTCCCCACCCCACCCCTACCGTCGAATACCAAAACAACATCCGTCATCTCTTTTGGGGGGGCCTTCTTCTTGAAGAAATGTTGTCTCTGACTCTGGACAGGAAGCAAGTAAATGCACTGCTCTGCCGCCCAAAATAAACATTTCCCCATCCTGCAAAAATGATCAATCTATGCCCTTTTCTCCAGCACAGTGAGGGCAGTACAGCATGCTGCTTGAAGAAATATTAACAAATATAGCCAGTGAGAGGGGAGCAGATGGGATGGAGAAATTGAACCAGCAGATTTCTGGATGGTATTCAATGAGTGGAGTTTTATAATACTGAAACAGAACTGCTCTTTAATTTTTGTCAGCGTCGATAGTCAAGAAACACCACTCTCCATCCTCCTGGTCTCTCTATTAAAGACTCCACAGAAGGGCACAAAAGGTCCCTTTCTTAATCATTCTGGCAAAAGCGAATTAAGGCTTACAAAAGCAAGTGCCAGGAGGGAGTGCACCGGCCGGCTGGACTCTCGAGCTGGTTCCCTGGGACAGACACAGTGACCTACATGCCACAGGGCAGGGCTCCAGCCCTGGGATCCCCTTACATCTTGACACACAAAAGCTCCTTTCAGAGTCTAAACTAACCAAACAGGAACAATTTTTATTCCTGCACGGGCTCATCCAGAGCATGTGTTCACATTTAAAACCTTGCCCCATGTGTCGTTTGCCTGCGTTCAGAGTTATTTGTATTCTTTGATTTGCAAAACAACAGCCACCACGTCACACTCGGTCACCAGCAGCCTGTAAGCAACAGCACATACAATTTACCTCCTAAAATAAACCAGCGCCAAATGCCCTCTGTCTTCTTTCCCTGACTTGCTTGGGGTGCTATGGCTTTTTCCGCATCGCAACTCTGCCATGAGCATTTAAACATCATCCCCCCACCTAAACGATAAAGTGTATAAATATTCTAAAGTGATGCTATTTACAAAGCCCCCAGACAGCTACTCTTTACTTTCATTTAAAAGACAGTTTTAGAATGAATTTTTTAACCTATCTCAAAAAAGTGACCTTGTTCCTTAAAACTGCCAAGCCTCCCAGGTACATACATGCTAAATACATAAGGAAAAGATTATAGGTACATGATCAAATGCACGTTTCAATTCTCTGAACCGGTTTTCTTTTTTTTTTCCTTTGTGTGTGTGTGTGTGTGTGTGTGTGTGTGTGTGTGTGTTGATGAAAAACATTTTTCTCGTAATATATTATTCGGCACATTCTATGGTATTTTTCACAGTTTCTACATGTTTGACATTTTAGCCAAACCTGTTAGGAGGGGGAATCCAATTGAAGAACTACAATATTTAGCTTTCAATACCCACTGCCAACATATAATGGTGGAGGGAAAGTAAAGTTTTGGGGGGATGATATTTTAGTATAATTTTTAAAAACTCAAAGATTTACTACCAGTAGTTCATGAGAGATAATAAAGTGAATTTTTAAAGATGTATAAATTTTTGAGATGTATATGCTCTGAGGAGAAAAAGAGGAGGGGAAGTTAAATAGAAAAAAAAAGTGTGGCAGAAATCAAAGTTTCCAATAATGAGAAATATTCTGCAGAAAACACGTCTAGAATAAGCTATTTTTATTCTTTTCCTTCTGAACTAGATTTCTCACAAAATCCTGGTTTACCTGAAATTTTTGTATATGTGTGTGTTTGAAATTAATCTTAAGGTCACGAGTTAGGGTGCATTTCCTTAGCTGGCAGCCCCTAAGTGAAAAGTGTGTAGTCTTCTGGCATTTTCTTTTTAATAGCAATTTCAAGTACAGGATTGCTGAAATGTAGAATCAGTTTTGAACACGCACCCTGAGGCCACAGGACAATGAAGAACATTTCCAGGGAGTCAATAAAATAGAAATAAAACCAGCAGCAGCACTCTCTAGAAAGCAGTACTACTGCCCTTGGTGGCCTCGCCTCTCACCTTGGCCTATTTTCCCATCAGCGAGCAAACTCCCCTTGAAGCTGGAGAGACTCGGAACTGAGCAGAGAGCTAAGAGCTGTCTCTGTCTCACTTGGAGATCTTTCTGTAGAAAAAGATCCCTTTTGTATCAGAGAATTTGCAGACACTTCTTGCCAAGGAAGTGTTTACATTATCATTTTGTCCCCAAAGAATCTTTATGATATGCATGATTCGGTAAAGTCATCCTGCTTGCTTCCCATCCAAATCTTACTCATTCTGGAATACAAAGAGTTAAGATGATGTTTCTTGTTGTAGAATTAATCAGATTCATATTAGCAGTAGTAAATGTCATGTTGGCACCTTTTCCTTCTCACACATTACAGTTTCAAGTCTTTGCCATGAGGAAATAATGAAGTCAAGATATGCAGTGCCATATACCGTGCATCTTTTTTGTAAGTCTGCATAAGAAATGAATTGTATCTGCTACTAAGGGGGTCATAAGAGCAGTGAGTTAAGAGGACTGCTTAAAGAAATGACATGTCAAAGGAAACAAAACTTAATTTTGAAGTACTTTCTAGGTAGATTGCCTTTTTGGAAATAAAATGTTCATAATACCCCTATGTGATAAGGTTTGGTTACATTTAATTGCTACTGACCAAGCAGCTTTGAAGATCTCACAGCTTTCTTACTGAGATCAGTAAAATAAAAATGACCTCTTCCAAAGTAAACTTGAACACTGTCAGGAGAGGAAAAGCCTGTCTTCTGTCCTGCTTTGGGGACAGCGTGGTAGGGTGGTTACAAGTTCAGCTCTTGCTTCCTATTGCCTGGAGGTGAATCTCTCGGTGGTGCCTGGAGAGCAAGATTTACCTGGAGCAAGTTATTCAGCCTCATCCGGACTCCTTCATCATCAATGAGGATGATAATAGTACTTAACCTCAGAGGATTCTTGCAAAGATTAATCACAGAAAGTGCTTGAAATATTCTGCCTCATAGATTGAACATAGACTGAATGCTTCAATAAATGTTAGCTGTTAATACAGATTCACTAATTCTTTAATTTACTCAGTGAATGTTTCTTCATTACTTACTAGGTTGGATATTTGGGAAACTCAAGAAAAGCATTGACTTGGGTCAGATGGATTGCGATGGGTAATATTCTAAAAGGTGGTATTACATAAATTCACTCTAAGTAGCAGTGAGTAGTAGCTCGTCACTTGGTGAAAGAGGCAAAATGACCCTCCCTTATAATCTCCTGTAGGGGTGGGTGGTAACATCCGTAGTGGCCACGAGAAAATTGGATAGCCACATGCAGAGGAACGCAATTGGACCCCTACCTTACACCACTCACAAAAAATTAACTCGAAATGGATTAAAGACTTAAATGTGAACCTGAAACTGTAAAATTACTAGACAAAACATGGGGAAAAAGTTTCTTGGCACTGGTCTTAGAAAAGGTTTTTCGGACGTGACTCCAAAAGTGCAAGTAACCAAAGCAAAAATCAACAAGTGGGACTACATCAAACTAAAAAACTTCTGCACAGCAAAAGAAATGATCAACAAAATGAAAAGGCAACCTCCAGATTGGGAAAAAATATTTGCAAACCCTATCTCTGATAAGGGGTTAATGTCCAAAATATATAAGGAGCTCATGTAACTCAATAGCAAAAAAAAACAATCCAATTAAAAAATGGGCAGAGGACTTGAATAGACATTTTTCCAAAGAAGACATACAGATGGCCAACAGGTACTTGGAAAGGTGCTCAGCCTCTCTGATCATCAGGGAAATACAAATCAAAACCACCATGAGCTATCACCTCACACCTGTAAGAATGGCCATCATCAAAAAGACGAGAGACAGCGAGTGTTGGTGGGGATGTGGAGAAAAGGGAACTGTTAATGAGAATGTCAATTAGTGCAGCAACTGTGGAAAACAGTATGGAGGTTCCTCAAAAAATCAAAAATAGAGCTACCGTATGATCCACAATCTCACTTCTGGGTATTTATCCAAAGAAAATGAAAACACTGTCTCGAAGAGGTTACTGCAGTCCCATGTTCATTTCAGCGTTATTCACAATAACCGAGACGTGGAGACAACCTGAGTGTCCAGCAATGGACGACTGGGTAAAGAAAATGTGACCTATATATACATATCATATGATATATTATATAATATTGTGATATTATATATAAATATATATATTTCTATTTATAATGGAATATTATTCAGTCATGAAAAGAAGGAAATCCTGCCTTTTATGACAATAGGAATGGACCTTGAGGGCCATATGCTAAGTGAAATCAGTTAGACAGAGAAAGACAAATACCGTATGTTCTCGCCTACCTGCAGAGTCCAAAAAAGCCAGACTCAAAGAAATGAGTAGTATGGTGGTTTTTAGGGGCCGGGGGTGGAGAGGGAGGGATAGGGGAATGTTGGTCACAGGGTGCAAACTCCCAACTATAAGATGAATAAGTTCTGGGGATCTAATGTGCAGCATGGTGACCGTAATTAACAATACTATCTTATGTACGTGAAAGTTGTTGGGAGTAGACCTTAAATGTTATCGCCACAAAGTGAAAATGATAAGTATGTGAAGGGATGGAGGTGCTAACTAGCCTTATTGTAGTAATCATTTTATAATATATATGTGCATCAAATCATCACATTGTACACCTTAAACTTACCTGTGTTATATGCCAATAATATCTCAATAAAGCTGAAAAAAAAAAGGAGTGGCCCAGGAGTTTTTCTTGCTTAGTTCTCTCTTTCTTTCTCTCTCTCTTTCTCTCTCCTCCTTTTTCCCAGATCCAAAGGCTTCATTTAAATCTCACTGATAATCCTTGAAGCAAAATCAGTTGCTCCTTCTCACGTGAAAGTATCATTGTGTAACTTTTTCCAACATCACATCATTTGGGAGCATAGGGGAAAGTGCAACTTGGAATAATAAATGTTTTTGTCAAAAACGTATAAAACTATCTTAACCTCAAAAACACACCATTTGATACCTCCTAATGAAAGAATTTATTGCTATAATTTTAAATGAGCTTTATTGATCTATAATTTACATATAATAAAACTTACCCCTCTTAAGTGTAAATTTTATGAGTTTTGACGACTATGTATGGTCGTGAAGCCTTCACCCTATATCTTCAAGATATAGAATATTTTCACCCCAAAAAGTTCCCTTGTGTCCCTTTGCAGTTAGTCTCCTTCTCTACTTCTGGCTTCCAACCACCACTGATGTGCTTTCTGCCACTACGGTTTTGCTTTTTTCAGAATTTCATACAAATGGAATCATGAAGTATGTGGTCTTTTGTACCTGGCTTGTTCAACTTAGCATGATGCTTTGGAAGTTCATCTGTGTTGTTGCATGTATCAGTAGTTCTTTCTTTTTAATTGCTTCATAGTATTCCATTACATGAAAATATCACATTTTATTTATCTATTCACCAGTAAATGAAAATTTGTGTTATTTTCAATGTTTGGTAATTAAGAAAAAAACTGCTATAGACTTTTCATATTAATCTTTATGTGGACATATATTTTTATTTTTATTGGGTAAATACCTAGGAGTGGGATTGCAGAGTTATATGGTAAGTGTATGTATGACTTTTAAAGGAATTGTTAAATTGTTTTCCAAAGTGGTGAACTGTTTTACATTCTCATCAGCGATATGAGTAAATACTTTTACAATTGTAAAAAATGATTTTTGAATTTTATAGATTCAATTCAATTCAATTCCAAGTTTTGAGATCACCTACTATGATGGAGAAATGTACCAGGTACCATGGGGGAATGCCAGGCACTGAGATCATATTCACAGATAACATTAACATAAGGCAGGCTGTGATGATCACTCTGATAGAGATATAAGCAAATTCCTATGGGGTTTTATGAGAAGGAAAGAAGGATTAATTTCAATAAACTATTACTTGAAAATAAATAAGGTGAGCATCTGTGAGTCAGCCCTGTTCAATTCACTTTTCTTCAGCCAGGCAATTAAACCTTTTAAGCTGTTTTCTCATGGGATAGTTAGGATGTTCAAGTGAGCAAATATGTATGAAAGTTCCGTGAAAAACATCAAGTGCTACCAAAACACAGAGTTGTACTTGTGCTTGTCATCCCCATTGTAATCACCACTTCTAAATATCATGTGTAGGAGACCCGAAATACAGAGATCCTTCTAGAGCAGAGCATCTCATGTTTAACATGTACAAATCACTTGGGGAAGTTCAATTATTATCTCCATTTTGCAGCTGGAAAAAACTTTGGAAGTTTAAGTAAACTTCGGGGAGTCAAGTCATACAGATAGGACTAGTGAAATAAAAAATACAAAAGTCCATTGCTTTTTTCCCCCATTTTTATCTTTTTTATGCCTATACTTTCCACCTTCCCCAGCTAAAATAAAAATGATTCTTGGAACGGAGTGGGATTCTAAAATTCCCTCAACCTTTGATCCAGAATTAGCTCGTAAGATTCTTTGACACTTAGTGTGGTCTCATGCAACAGTCCCTTTCCATAGCATCTTCCCTACAACACTGCATCCTCTATTAACTTACTGCGTCTGACTCGTGCTTGTCGTAACAATGCTCAACATGTTTCAGGGCCGCTGACGCAGCCACAGGGGTTACTGTTCACTTTGCCTTTTATGTGAATTCTGTGTGAGTTTCACTCTGAGGGCACCATTTTCAGTGTGAATCGTGGCCTTCTGAGTTGTGCGGTGCTTCAGCACTGATATGGGATTTTAAAATTTACAAAGCACTTCCACAGAGAATAATTTATTTAAACCCTGAAACAACCTTCTGAGGCAGGAAGTTCAACTATTATCCCCATTTTTCAGCTGAACAAAACTTTGGAAGTTTAAGTAAACTTTGGGGAGTTAAGTCATACGGATAGGACTAATGGAATACAAAAATACAACCAAGTCTATTGCTTTTTTCTCCCATTTTTATCTTTCTATACTATACTTTCCACTTTCCTCAGCTAAAGTAAAAACTAGATCCCAGCAAAAACGACAACATATTTAAATTAAAAACACTTGCTTTGTTTCGACTTCGTTTCATTCCATCAGAGACACCTGACAATAATTGAAAGGTGATTTTTCAGTACAGTGTAATAATTTGATTTCATATGCTTATCTCCCTTCTCTCCTGAAATAACACCAAACTGGGTAAAGGAGTTTAGCACCTGGTCTGGCTCCTGGAGAAGAATCTCATCCACATTTCTGTATGATACAGCGTAGGTGAGAGCAGACTGGAGGAAAAATGGATCAATTTGATTTTTACATCCAGGTGAAGCTAATGTTGGCCAAGGGAGTGTGTGGAAGAGACCCCTAGTGAGGTGAGAGCAGAACAATGGACAGCAAGGTGGGGTAGGGGGTCCTACTGGAATTCCCCGGATCCCCAAGAAACCCTGCAGGCACTGAGGGCTCCAGGTCGGCTTCAGCATTTCCCGCTGAGATGCCCCGGTATGGACAGCATATGGGAGAAACAGGGCTCAGCTGCACCGATGTAAGGACAGGCTTGAAAACCTGAGAGAAAGCAAGTGACATTAGGCTGCCAACTCAAACTGAGCGAAGAAATGATCTGGCTCAAAGTTAAAGCTCACATCTATAGCCACCTCCTTCTCGACTCCTGAGAGGCCTCTCGTCCTCTCAGAACAGTCAATTTACGTTCTCTTGTGTCTTCTGACCTCTGCCTGAGAGATTGAGCAGGCATCCACCCAATCTGAGGTAGAACCATTTCAAGTGGTTCGAGAGACAACACTTGTCAGATAGAGTTCACTTCCCAACAACCATGAAACTGAAAAAAGTATCACCAGGCATGAAATGTATTCAAGAGTTCAAACCAAAAGATGAAAGATAGATTAAGACAATATGCTTTCAACATACATGACAGACAAAAGACTAAGTTCTCAAATACACAAATAATTATAAATTGTTCACAAAAAATGAAACCTCCAATGGGAAAGAATTAAAAAGAAGAAATGATATATCAGGAAATTGCAAATAAGAGGAAGCAGCCATAGCATCATTGATATCAGATAAAGAAGAGTACAAGGAAACAGGTATTATACACTCAAGATTAGAACAGTCATGAATATTTATCCACCAAACACCACCACAAAGGGCTATTTAAATTTTTTAAAAATTGAAAATTCAAGGAATATTTTGATATCCCTTTTTCTGTCTTCAGCGGACAAACTAGATAAAAAAATAAATATGGCTTTAATAAACTTGCATCCAAAGTTACACCCCACCAAGAAAGAACATGCATTGTCTTCAGAAATATTTGAGACAATTATTTTAGACTCATTAAACATTTGTTGAGCCTGTACAATGAGCCAAGAGAGTTTACATATTTATTTATTCCTCAGACTAGTCCTGTGATGTAGTTGTTGTACCAGATTTACTGATAAGAACACTAAAACTCAGAGAATATGATATTATCAGGTTACATAGTCTGAAAGTGATAGATCCAATCAGACTGAAAATATTTTTTAACATTTTTTTAGAATTAATTTTAGACTTACAAAAAAGTTGCAAAAATAGTACAGACAGTTCTCTATACCCCTCACTGAGCTTCCCTTAAAGTTTACGACTTAACGTACAATTAACATTGGTGCAATACTGTTAACTAAAGGCCTTATTCAAATTTCACTCACTTTCCCACTAATGTGCTTTTTCTATTCCAAGATCCAATGCCGGATCCCACGTTGCATTCCTCCTTAGCCTTCCTCAGTCTGTAACAGCTCCTCCTTCTTCCCTCGTCTTTCATAATCTTGGTACTTGTGGAAAGTACTCGGTCAATTGTTTCGTAGAATGTCCCTCAATTTGGATCTGTTGGATGTTTCTCAGATTGGACTGAAGTTATATCATTTCGGCAGGAACACCACGAGATGGTATTGGTTTCTTCTCAGCGCATCAGATCATGGGATTCATGAGATCCATGTCTAATTATTTGTGATGCAACTTTGATCAGCTGGTTAAGGTGGTGTCTGCCGAGTTTCTCCAGCTATTGAGTTTCTATCTTTCTCTTTGTTGCTAAGAAATATCTTGGGAGAGATAGGTAAAGACTATCCAAATTCTGTTTCTCCTCAACTTTGGGACAGTTTTTTAAAATTTATCATTTGCCAGGTAACAAAGTAAATAAAAATAAACTGTAGTTTTACTTTACCAAAATAGAAGTTACATCTGTCATATTATCTGAGTAAAAATCCTAACAATGTAGTAATCATTCCACATTGAAATTTATAGAAATAATACTCTAATTATTATAGGACAGATAAGTAATCAACCTGTAATTTCTGATTATTTAGAAACTAATGCGGGGCCGGCCTGGTGGCGTATCAGTTAAGTGCGGCCACTCTGCTGCTGGCGGCCCAGGTTCAGATCCTGGGTGCGCACCAACACACCGCTTGTCAGGCCATGCTGTGGCGGCGTCCCACATAAAGTGGAGGAAGATGGGCACAGATGTTAGCCCAGGGCCAGTCTTCCTCAGCAAAAAGAGGAGGACTGGCATGGATGTTAGCTCAGGGCTGATCTTCCTCTCCAAAAGGAAAAAAAAGAAACTAATGGAATTGAAAATGATACATCTCCAAAATTAATTACCAAACTTAGAAATAAATTTATATCATTAAATTTCCATTAACTAATTTAATAAAGACTTTTCTCTTGCTTACCATATTCTGAACCCTACATTAATGGTGAGCAAAACAGACATGATCCTTGCAATAGTGATCCTTGCATAGTCATAATGAAAATAAATAAATTAAACTTTCATCTCAAGAATCTTTAGAGGAAGCCATTAAATAAATCTAGGGAAAACAGGAGAAAAACAAACTAAAGAAATAGATACTAGAGAAACAATAGATTTAGTAAGTAGATTATAAAGCCAAGTTCTGTCCTCTTGGAAATGTAGGCAAAGGCATGTTAAAGTTAATCAGAAAATTCAGCACCAGCATCAAAATTCACAAACTCCATAAGAAAAGGACAATCTTTTCTCTTACAGTAGGAGGAAATATTAACAAATGATGCAGACAGGCAATTCATAAAATAATATACAAAAATAGCCAATAAAAACATTTGACTTCACTAGTAATTAAAAATCAAAATAATGAGGGGGCCAGCCCAGTGGCGTAGTAGTTGAGTTCATGCACTCTGTTTTGGCAGCCCAGGGTTTGCAGGTTCAGATCCCGGGCACGGACCTATACACCACTTATCAAGCCATGCTGTGGGGGTGTGTTACATATAAAGTAGAGGAAGATGGGCACGGATGTTAGCCCAAGGCCAATCTTCCTCAGCAAAAAGAGGAGGATTGGCAACAGTTGTTAGCTCAGGGCTAATCTTCCTCACCAAAAAAAAAAAAAAAAGAAAAAAAAATTAAAACAATGAGATCATGTTTTCTCTATTAATCTTACATTGAAAAAAGAATGGAGATACCCAGTGTTGGTAGGGTTGCATTAAGAACATGTTCATACGTGGTGACTGGGTTATTGGTTCAAGATCTTGATGGAAATTTTTCTTAGTATTATATCAAATACTCTAAAATGTTTGTATATTTGGCCATCTCTAAGAAATTTAAGCTATTACCCTAACAATATTCATTCGTAGATTTAGACACAATAATATTCACCACAGCATACTTGATAATAGTGGGAAAAATAGAAATAATCTAAATACCAGTTAGGGAACTGATTAAGCAAACTGTGATAGGTTCATAAAATGGAATATTATGTACACATTAAAAAAATAGTAATACTGTAGAATGACACCAGCAACATCGTGGAGTGAGCTGTTCCCTGCGTCTCTCCCCCTTCGAACTACAACTAAAAGGACATTTATTGATCAGCAAAGGATACCCACACAGCACACTAGGCCGCCTGAGAGACCTATACAGAGCAGCTGTATATCTGAAGGTGGAGGGACTACCCCTCCTAAGGAGGTGGTGGAGATCGGTGAACACCCTCTGAACCCCAGGCAGCCCTATGCACTTGTGCAACTACTTTCTCGGCTGGAGCCATCATAGCACTGCTGTGGCCCTGAGGGTGGGAACGTACCTCAGCACAACTGTGGAAACAGGTGACGGCAGCCCTGAGCCCCATGTGTGATCACTTCTCCATCTAGTGGGGGAGCCCTCAGGGCCACGCAGCCCACAGAGAGCAGCACAGGCTTGGACCCAGTGGGGAAGCCCCGCCCACCAAGCACAAAGGCTGGTGCTACCTAGGAGCAGAGGGCAGCTGAGCTGCTGCTCAGGCAAATAAGCTCCTGGCTGCTGTAAACACCCGTAGTACTGCTACAGCCCCAAAGGGGGAAGCGTGTCTCGGTGGGACTGTGGGAGCTGGTGGCAGTAGCCTTGATCCCCCACATGATCACTCTCTCGTCTGGTGGGAGAATCCACAATCCCACCCAGTCCCAGGGCATGGCTGGCTTGGTCCCAGAGGGGAGCTCCCGCCCATCAAGCACAATGGCTGGTGAGACCTAGGAGAAGAAGGTGCTGAGATCCCAGTCCAGGCAGACAAGCCCCAGCTTCCATGAACACCCGTAGTACCGCTGTGGCCCAGAAGCAGGGAGCATAACCCCTGGGGTCTGTGGGAGCAGTCGGCAGTGGCCCTGAGCCCCCCACATGACCACTTTCCCATTCAGTGGGAGACCCCACAGGGCCACTGTGATCCCAAGGAGTGACCCAGGCTTGGACAGGCACAGCTGACAGGGATCACAGCAGTGGGCTCAGATTACACAGCTCCTGCCCCCCCCCCAAGTGGAAGCAGGCGGAACCTGCATCCAGAAACTATCATTATGTGCCAGCACAAATCCACTCCATCAAATGGTATAAAGAAATTTATTAATACTCCAGATCAGAAGGAAAAAGACAAACACCCAGAAACCAATCCTGAAGGCATGGAAATCTATGATCTAAATGACAAAGAATTCAAGACAGCCATCATAAGAAAACTTAATGAGCTACAAGAGAATTCTGAAAGACAGTTCAATGAAATCAGGAACCAAATTACTGAACAGAGGGAGTTCTTCACAAAAGAGATCAAAACTGTAAAGAAAAACCAAACAGAATTGCTAGAGATGAAAAACACAATGGATGAGATAAGAAAAATCTGGAATCCTTAAACAAGAATGCTGATAATATGGAGGATAGAATTAGCAATCTGGAGGATGGGAACACAGAAATGCTTCAGGTGGAGGAGAGAGAACTTAGACTAAAAAGAAATGAAGAAATTCTCTCAGAAATATCTGACTCAATTAGGAAATGAAACATAAGGATTACAGATATTCCAGAGGGATAAGAGAGGGAAAAAAGAGCAGAGAGCTTGTTCAAAGAA